ATCCCAGATGCCGCCGCCGAGGCCTCCCCCGCCTGGGACAGGTAGCACTGGAGACCCTCCGGAACCTGGAAAACTGGTCACTAGGCTCAGCCCCCCCCCCCCCCACACACACACACACACACCAACGCCCGGGCGGGTGTTGCTCTCCTTATACATCTTAGTGACTGGTATCAAAACCCCAGGATAAATGTATTATGACACAATGTAATATGCTGGGAGTCATTTTTCCTTTTCATAGGGATAATTTTCAGTTACAGAAGTTGTGTTTTTTAAATGTAAAAAATTCAGACAAGTTTTTTAAATTGACTTTTAGAAAGAGAAATATTGATTTGTTGTTCCACTTATTTATGCATTTATGGATTGTGTCCTGTATGTGCCCTGACCGGGGATCAAACTGGTAACCTTGGCATTTCAGGAGGATGATCTAACCAACCAAGCAAGGGCCAAGCAAGTTCTTAAGCCCTGTTATCTCTGCAATGATTTAGTGTCCAGACAAAATTGGCATCCTTTTAAAAACTTGACTTTTTTTCTTCAGCTCCTTGCCTTTTTCATAAATGGGAAAAGTAACCTGTTGTATGAAGAAGCCACAGACTGAAAGCAAAAAGGAAAGACAGGAAGGAGGGTACATAGTTTCATATCATAAAGCCAAGCTAGGAGAGAGAGCAAATCCTTCTCATCACTGGCATCTCTTTGCCAGTGATACTTAAATTTGCCAGTGGAGAGGGTGATAATGCACACCTCGATCTATCTTCCTAATGAATGCCTGTTTAATGAGACTTTAGCTGTCTGCATGTGTTGGTCCAATTCTATTCTTCTGTTTTAAAACATTCGCAGTTTTTGCTTCTCTTCCTTTACAGTCAATTATACACATTTATTATTTTCTAATTAAAAATTTGTTATTGAGGCTGGCTCTCCCTCCCAGGAGCACGTCCATGCCTCCACCACCCCTTTCTTTCCCCAAAGGCATGCATCTCCTAAACTCTAAGGGACCCCACGAGGCTTGTAACTGAAACAGGGATTTTAGGGGTAAAATAGGACAGGTTTAGGAAATTTTAGAAATTTTATTAATTAAAGGGACCATGGAAGAAGCACAGGACTGCAGAGCAGCAGAAGGTATATTTCCATAAAATAGGGGAGCTGAAAAGCTGCAACAGGTATATTTCCATAGAATGAGGAGCTGGGAAAACAACAAAAGGCCTATCTTGACAACATAAAGAGAAGGAAGCCCTTCATCCAGAAGGAGAAGAAGAAAGCCCAAAGGGAAGAGGAAAACAATAAGGAAGGAGAGGGGAGAACCTCTCATGTCCCACATGAGGTTCAAACTTTGAGCCCAGGAGTTACTATAGTAACCAGTCTAAGGGAATAGTGACCAATCAGAGGGGATATCAAGGCACCAGGATCTGAAGCCCTTATAAGCCATAGGGGAAAGGAACTCAGTGGGACCCTTTCCCTCTCCCTACTTGGGAGCACATTCCGTGGGACTCTGTCCCTCTCCCCATGTGGGAGTCTGTACTTGTTCTTCAATAAATCTCCACCTTTGCTATACCACTTTCTGTCCGTGGATTCATTCTTCGATTCTGGCAGACAAAGAATTTGAGTTCCAATCCAATTATTCCGTTTCACAACCAGGGCAGCAATGAGCAACAGCAGTTTGTCCTAGACCAGGGGTGGGCAACCCCTGGCACACGTGCCAAACATGGCACACCAGTAACTTTTGCTGGCACACAAAACCCTCTCTTATAACCTTCCATTTGCAATTTTTGTGAACATTTGAATGACTTAAATGTTAAATTACAAGGAACTGGCAAGACACTTGATGTTATGTTTGCTTACATAAAATAAAGGCTTTTGAAAAGAAACTGGAAGTCTTTAAGAGGGATGTGGATGGTGAGAGATTTAGATATTTCCCAAACCTCAAGAGGCACATCAAAGACCTCCCAAAAGATGACAGAACAGACTGTCAAAGCCTTCAAAAGCTGTTTTTAAACATCATCGAGTCAACTATTGAGCAGTTCTTCTCAAGATTTGCGAAATTCAGAGAACTGGAAGGGACAGCAAAATTCATGAGGTTTCCAGACAGCATGAAACTGGAGGAACTAAACTTACAAATGTTTTCACGGATAGACATGGCTAACTTTGAAATGCAGTTGATTGAATTTCAGGGTAGCTCAATTTGGAAGCAGAAATTTATTGACCTTAGAGCTGACTTGGAAAACATTGAAAAAAAGCGATTAGAGACAGGAGTGCCAGAGAGAAGTGTCGAAAACGAACTATTGAGGACTTGGAATGCCATTCCAGAAAATTTTTTCTGTTTGAAAAACTTTTCAACAGCATTACTCTCCATGTTTTCATCCACATACGCTTGTGAATCTTTGTTCTCAGTGATGAATTTTGTTAACTCTTGTAATAGGAGTAGCCTGACGGATGAACGTAGTAGCTCATGCATATCTCTGAAAGTCATGAAATATAAACCTGATGTAAAATCTCTGTCATCAGTGATGCAGCAGCAAAAGTCCCACTGATAATATCAAACGGAATCATAAAGTTTTCTGTCGGACTATCAGTGTACATGTATACATTAAAAAATAAATGTATTTTTCATCATCATATACTGTGTTTTTGTTGCTCAAATGAATTTTATTATTTCTTCAAGGTTCTTCACATACATACACCTTAAGAGATATCAAGTAGGAGTAACATGTTCTCAAAAAATTAGGGTTGGCACGCAGAAGAATTTTGAATCAGAGATTTTGCTGGTTTTGGCACGCACTCACAAAAAGATTGCCCACCCCTGACCTAGAACAAACCCCTGAATGCGACCCCAAGGCCCCCTTTTCTCTGACTTATTAGTGAGCCGAAGAAGACCAGCCTAGGCTCATTTTCCCAGCCCTTCCTTGTTTCATTATCCCCAGCTTTAATAAAATTTAAAAAAATACTGAAATGTTAGCTTTATATGTCCTTACCTCCCCTCCAAACTCAGACACTAGCCAACCCCTTTGACTTTTCTTGAGTGGCCACATATCGCCTGAGCTATTTCTGTCATGAGTTTAAAAGCACCATGCATAAGTCATTCCCTATTTTCTTCTCACTCCCCTTCAATTCAAAATATATGCTGTCTTGGCAATACAGAATGATACATTTCAACAGAGCACACTTTATAAAATGTCTGTTAAACCATTTTTATTTTATAGAGTAGCAAATGTTCATGTCTTAAATATTGGCCAATTCTAGGTACTTCAGAATGGAGTTTATATAATGCATGTTCCAAATAAAGATATCATAGTATGTCATGAAGTTAACTTAATGGTATTATCTTCAAATAAATGTTTCCATCTATCCTGTTCCTCAGACCATTTTCAATTATAAACTGGAAAGTAAAATTGAAATTGTCAAGTCCCATCAACAAGTGTTGATTAAGCATATCTCAGCTCTTTAAACCTACTATCGATTGTAATGCTGAGAACATGCATTTTCTTTCTTGATTTCTCTTTTTGTTATTGCCTTTCCATGTATCTTTGTGATTTATAATCTCTGAGCTATTGAGCTTCTGAATACGGCTACTAAAATAACTACAATGTTCAACTAAATTGGGAGAAAATCAAACTTTTTTCAAAATGACTTTCTGAAATAAATGGCCAAGGGCAAAATTTGAAAGTTAAGCAAAACCCTCTGTATTTCTAAACAATTTATTCTTTGAATGTACAGAATAACTACTTAATCATTATAAAACTAAGAGGTATAGTAGGTACAATCGATCTTCATTATTTTCAGATTCTGTATTTGGAAATTTGCTTCCCTACAAAAATTTATTAGTAAATCATAATCCAAAGTACACACTCGCTATGCATTTTTTGTCATTTATGGACGTGCCTACTGGTGAGAAATTTGAGGAACCTATGTGAAGGTTCTCAGCTGAAATCAAATAAGGCAACATTTGGCCTTCTTTTTTGAGCTCCCATACAAGGTAATAAAGATATTATTCATGGGGGAAAAAAGGTAATTAAGAACCTTCAAATGTTCTCTTTAAGCATTCTTAAAGATAAATTTGCTGAGCAAAGACATCTTTATTGTTTGGAAACAAGGAATTATCTCTATCAAAATAAATCAACCTAATTTCAGTACTCCTTTTATAGAGAAGTCCAAGGGCATATGACCCGGTGATCTTGGTATAGAAAGATACTTTATTAATTTATTTTTTTAGCTGATTCTTTTGACAGTTTTAACTAAATCCCATTTAAAATACAATTGATTATTGTTCTTTTGCAATTTTCTTTGGTGCTAGGTTTTTCACATTTTTTTGGTGGTGATTTTTCTGTTTTAAATGGATCCCAAGTATAGGGTGGAAGTGCTATCAAGTGTTTCCAAGTGACTTACAAAGAAAATGCATGTGTTAGATACACATCATTCAGGCATGAGTTATGGTGCTGTTGGCTATGAATGTTATTAAATCTATAAAATATATTAAACAAGGTATATTTAAACATAAACACACATAAAACAAGGTTATAGATTGACCTGGTTGATGAAGATGTTGTAACCAGAGGCTAGCAGGAACCTAACTATGCATTTCCCCTAGGAGCAATGGTTTATAAAACATAACTACCATTTTTAAAACATAACTACCTCAGATAACAATAATCAAATGTATTTTAAACTGCAATTTACTTAGAAATGACAAAAAGTCAGCTATGCAAATAGATGAATAAAGTACCTTTCTATGCCAAGATCAACAGGGGCATAGGCCCTTGGGCTTTACCATAAAAGGAGTACTGAAATTAATTTGATTTATTTTGATAAAGATAATTCCCTGTTTCCAAACAATAAAGATGTCTTTGATTAACAAATATATCCCTAAGATTGCTTAAAGAATACATTTGAAGATTCTAGTTATTTTTTTCATGGATAATATCTTTATTACATTGTCAGCTGATTCAAATATATTGATACATCGTCAGCTGGTCTTTCGCTTGGAACCAATACTGTGATGTTCCTGTACTGCTTTAGCCACTTCTTGGTGTCTCAGCTAAAAATGCCTGTCTCAGTTCCACCTGGAACTCCACCACAGGTACTGGCTGCTGCTGAGATTGTCTCAGGCACAGATGACAGCCTTGGTTGTTCAATGAGGCTGTCCTGCATTTGACTTGGACTTGCACCTCTGGTACGTGGTCTGTCTCAGGAGTATGAGGTTCCTGGCCCGCTCCATTGAGTCGCTGGCCACTCATACCAAAGCATCAGACATCTCCAGTAGCCGCTCAGCTCTTCTTAGTTCCTTAAACACAGCAACCGTGAACATGTGTGATCAGGATACCAAAATAATTATTGCCGAGGTAGATAACCCCATAGAATGAAACAATTTAAAAGTCTGGCATCAGAGAGATTTTTCTCTTTGTCTAGCTTCCTAAAATGCATATAAGATACTGCATGCCCATCCAGGTGTGGCTCACTGGTTGAGCGTTGACCCAAGAACCAAGAGGTCACTGGTCGGATTCCCAGTCAGGGCATATGCCCGAGTTGCAGGCTTGATCCCCAATGGGGGGCATGCAGGAGGCAGTCGTTTGATGATTCTCTCTCATCATTGATGTTTCTATCTCTGTCTCCCTCTCCCTTCCTCTCTGAAATCGATTTAAAAATATTTTTTAAAAATATATTGCATAAGTTAAATGAGGCCAAATGAAAACAGCTAGGTGTGATTTTATTGTGGGGGTGAGGTGTTTGGTTGTCATTGGTTATTCTTTGAAGCCAATTCTGCCTTTTGGGATAGGAAATGTCTTAGATATAAGTACTACTCTTTTGCTTTGAACTAATTTATTCTGGCTAGCATTTCCATTCTTACAGTACCAAATTTGCAATCTATGGAAGTCTACAAAGTGTTTGACAAGTGACTACATTACAAGCAAAGTAGTGTTCCATTCGTTTGCATTTGAAGTGCAATGATACACCCCAAGTAAGAAGGGCTGTGAAAAGAACAACAGAATCACTCTGATCATTCTATAGGCGAAGCACAGTAAGTGTTGATTAATGTGAGATTTATTGACAGGTTATGAACCAAGGAGCCAAGAGGGTGGCCATCTGGTCACTGCTTAATGTTTAAAGTGCTGCACCCTAATGATTTTCTCTTTCCTCCAGCACATTTCCTGTATTCCCATATTTAAGTCACAGCACTAATAGATTCCCTACCAGTAACTTTTACCGACTCTTTAGCCATCAGAAGAGCTGCTTACTTGGCACTAATTCTAGGTATTTTCCCTAAAATTTTCTTGGCTTTATTTCTTCCCATTATGCCTTTTAAATAATAAATGTAATTAGTGGTTCCATAAGGCTTAATATTTAAAGCACTTTTATACTTGTTAAAAAGTCAGTCCTTACCACATCCATGAAAGTTAGGCCAACTCTGTTCTATCATCTACCCTAGGCGCCTTCTTGTCAGAAATAAAAACTTTATAAAACTTCTTTTAATGAAAGACCATATTTTGTATATCCTCAACAGACCAGGGTGTAAATCCTGAGGACTTAATCCATGTTTAACAAAAATGAGGACATGTGCTAAGATACTACTGAACATATGCTACTTCAAACAAGGGATTGGGTCTTATTTTATTCAGCTGGTATATATAATACATAACATACTTCCATACACACCTGGGCAATCAAAAGAAAATTGATGACTATGAGTAAGATAAGTGAAATATCCTCCTCCTGGATTCCAAGTGATCATCTAATTAAGGCAAATTATCTTATCCAAGGTTTGCTTATAATAGAAAATGTAGCTTCTGAAAGGCTTAATGATACTGAATTGGTACCCTTTTGGACTAAATTACTTCTTCAGAGAGCAAAATGGTCTTCCTGGAAGAGGTAATTTACCTTAAATATATAAGCACTTTGCCTCAAAGAAAGGGCACCAATTTGCTTTGAGAACTCCACTCGTGAGTTACCCACCCCTCCCACACACACACAAAGAACTGACCATTGCAAACCACTTGTCTACTACTGTGTATGTATTTCAAAATATAGCCAGTGTTTGCTTCCTTAAAGCAGCTATAATGGAATTTTAATTCTCTGAGGACAGGGATCTGCTCTCAGTGGGAAATTTCGACTGTGACCATCAAAATAGTAAGCTTGTAAAAGGTTTGACATTTCATGAGGGGAAATTTCTTCCTTGCCGTGACTAGCACAAATGAGGTGGGATGGCTGGTAACCCTTCATAGATAAGTCCCATTTGGAGAACCGTCCACGCCTGCTAATTGAATTCATTCTCTGACCCCTTGAAAAATGGCAATAGTCCAGATACAGGTAATCCCCTTGGTTAGTCTTTTACAAAACAGTTGTTATGAATGCTCATGAAGAACCTCCCTTGCCCGGCCAATGTGGCTCAGTGGTTGAGCGTTGACCTATGAACCAGGAGGTCAGGGTTTTATTCCTGATCAGGGCACATGTCAGGGTTGTGGGCTTGATCCCTAGTGGGGAGTGTGCAGGAGGCAGCCAACAAATGATTCTCTCTCATCATTGATGTTTCTATCTCTCTTTCCCTCTCCCTTCCTCTCTGAAATCAATAAAAATATATTTTAGAAAAGAACCTCCCTTGATTTCTTGTATTTTGTGCTGTAGATCAACCCTCTGCTCCAAGCATTGCTTTAGGTGTGATGCCTTTTGTACCAACTTTCTCAATTACTCTGATGCTGTGGATTTATGATTTGGACTTTATTCTTCTTCTTGCACTTTAATGTTGCCCTTCTGCATATTTTAATAAGCCATGCCTAAATTATTTTTATTGCTGAGGTTGTTTTAACTGTTGTTGTTCAGAAATGGCATTGTCAGGGGCCAGACAACAGAAGATATTGCCTAAATTTATTTCTTTACAGCTCAATATATATAAGCACTGTATTCCCATTTTTGGTGTTCAATCCAAATCTGTCCAGGTTAGGCCTGGCTTTTTGTCTTTCCACCATGTTTCTAACCTGGTAAATCTTGGTTCTTTGTAGTGTTTGCAATACAATAAAATAAAAACTACTTAATATTAGCTATGAATGTAGTCAATGTCCTTCAATAATTAATAATCATGTTAAACAAAAAGGGGCCTTTTCCTATGTATATGGTATAGCACCTCACTAAAGTCTTGCCCTCGATATTGTTAATATACTGAAACTATTGTGACATTATCTTACATTTTCAAGCCACCTGATATTGTTGAAATGAACTTTCTTCATTTTCTTGGTCACTAGAGGCGATTCAGTGGCAATTGTTTCTTTGTCAGACATTGACAACCTAGTGTTGACCACAGTCTGGATTCTTTGGGCTGCTGATGTTCAAAGTTCTCTCCTTGTTCACTTCCTAACACACTCAACACCTCCCTCCAGCTGCACCATGAGCTTCAGTTCAAAGAGCTACATTTAATTTACAGATCAATGTGTTTTTGTTAGTGTCAAGGAGCCACACATTGTTCACTGTGATTTTTGCCACAGTTAAAAGCATTTTTTACTTTGAGGACCACAATTTTGTAATCATGGCAGTACAGCCCACATTTACTCTTAAAAAAAAGGAAAGAGTGCACTTTTCTTGCTCCTTTTCTACCTTATAAATTTTCAAGAAAGCCTGCTAGATAACAAAACCTGATTGCAACCTAATTTCATTGTATATCAGGCACATTGCCTTCTCCACTGGTTTGTATCTTTGAAATGGTAGAGCAATGCAAAAATCTGCCAGGCACATGTTTAATTCATCGGCTGACCTTTTAAAACGTAGTTTTTGTCATTAAGCTAAAAGTGATCCAAACCTTTAGAACTACAGTACAACAATATTTAGACCTATAATAACTTCACACAGGGGTCCGTGGTTTAAAAGCATGGTTTGGGTCTTAAATAATAAATTGATTTCTCTCTCTCTCTCTCTTTTTGCTTTCAAGTTCCACTTTACTTTTTGCCCTCGCTCCTGAGAGATGAAGCAAATTAACTCCTTACAAGTAAAGGGAGCAGGAGACTCTAGGAGAAGGGAAGCGGTTTTTTTTCCCAAATAACTTTTATTGATCGTGGATCTGAGTCACTAAACTGACTTTGCTGAGGCGGGAATTGTCACAAGTTGTTCCTATAAACCCTCCTTCCGCCACCCACTGCGCGGCCCAGTACATGTCCAGTCTCAGGACACTGTGCAACTTTCCTGGGCTGTATTTCACGGAGATTAATTCTGGAACCGTGACCTCCTTGAGAGTCGGGACCAGGTCAACTACTCTCTGCATCCCCAAGGCCTAGCACATGCCAGGGACGTGTGTGGGCTCACGGAATAGATGTCTGCATAGGGATCAGTTAAATAATTAATTGAACTTTAAATTTAGCTGATGCTTTTACATTTCTCTCCAATATTAAAACTACAGTTAAGGGTCAATAGAGGGGAAAGCCTCAGGATCACGCTGGCCTGAATTTTCCCAACTTCTATTCTGTCAAAACAGGAAAAGACATAATCCTCAGAATATTAAGAGGCACTATCTTAACATTAGTTAGTCCTATCTTTACTGTGGCATTTCTAAGTAGAATATACCGGCATTAACATTGCCAATAAATTATTTGTAAAATTCCAGACTTCTACTCAATATGCTATGGTCAATAGTTACTGAGAAACGTTTACAATTGTTTATTGATACTGGCAGAAAAACAAAGATAAATAGACATACTAAAATTTATAATCATGCCTTATTTTATGGGCTCTACATTTACCTGACAGTATCAATAAATATCCCTGTACAAGTACAATAATAACCAGGCTCATCAGAAAAAGATTTTTAAAACATCCTCACATGGACAGGAAATGACAGACACATGTAAGTGAAAACTAACTTTATTAGAAAAATAATTGCACTGAATTCCTGTAATTGGATGGCTCTAAAAATCACCACAGTTTCAATTACTCAAGGATTGTGATGGAGTTTCACCTCGTGAAACTGTAGGAAGTTAACCAAATTATTTATTTCTTTTAAATGGTGGATAACATGAATAAGAGTATTACTAGTATTACTATGTTATTTAAATCTAATTTAAAAACATAATTTACATGATGAAAATTGCTTTACTTCTTAATCAGAGTCACTCTGGTGGAACTGCTTTAATAAAAGGTTTTTATATATATATAATTTAGCTTTCCTATTAGAAAATGAATTTTTCTATCTCTAAATTACAAATTGGCTCACACTTTTAACCTTTTCTTCGATCATGAAGC